TGGCTACAGTACACGTCAGTTGAGCGCTGTCGCTCTGCGGCACTTGTTTGTCACGTGCTCTGCTCACACCACCATCACCCAATGGACAACAAGCACATGCATAATTTCTGATCACTGAACCAGAGTGAACACAATGCGCTAAATCACAAAGCATTTTTTTTCCGCACAACGGTGCTGCGTTTTGCTGTGTCGTGTCGTGCCGCGTGTGTGGAGACATAGCTTAAGTCTATTCTACTTTCCTTATTCTAACTAACTTCCCTATTGAAACCTTGATGTATGTCCAATCATTTTAAGTCTACAATTTGCTCATCTATTTCACCAGTGCAGATCACCACATGAGCCAATTGACAGAATCGTGTCATGTTAACAACCGTAGAGACCACCCCCTTCTCTACGTTTCCCTACTGCCGACTTTACGCTGCCTATCTGCACAAACTCGACACAACAGTGCATGAATTCGACATTCCGAGTCCTTTTCGCGATCCCCCCTGACGTCCCGAATATCAAGACCATACGTCGAGCGGTTAAGATTTGTGCCTAACTGTTGACGGACGGACGGACGCACGGACGGCCGGACGCACGGACGGACAATCATGCGATTCTACAAGCTGCATCTGACTTCGTCAGCCGAGCTAATAAAAATCAAATTAGAAAAGCGATTTGAGCATATTAGCAGGTTTCGGCGTTGGTGCATGTGACAGACAACGTGGGCCCATCAACCGGCGTGATCTCACCTCCTCGTACTGATAGCGACGCTTGCTGAGGATGACGTCTTCGATCGCAGAACGATCGCCAAACTTCTTCTCGTGGATCGTGTAAGCTTTGTAGAGCTCTTGTGCCCGCTCCTTGTCAATGTGGTCAAGCGCATACTTGTAGATAACCCGCGCACGTTCATGCTGCAAACAAAAGATGTCGGTAAAAATGATGTCCATAGAATGTCGGTCCGAGAATCGGGAGTGGACGAAAACAGACAAGTTTAAACAATAGTTACGTTCAAGTTGATCAACATATGAATCCTACCCTACCAGCAATAAACGACGCACGCACGCATGCCAACGTTAAGATTGCATTACGAGCTGCCCCCAAATTCAGTCTATAAGCCACGGAAAGCCTTCTAATCTAATCGTATCTACGCTACCTCCTTCTGATTCTCCTCGAACTTGGAGAAGGAGAGGAAGAGCTTCTCGTCCATGTTATCCTCTCCGAAGTACTCGACGCCTCGCTCGTAGATGCGCCGCGCGCTGCTGACGTAGGAGTTCTGCTCCTCGAAGCGTGCGTACTTGATCCAGTTCTTCACCTCCGGGTGCACGATCACAAACCTGCGTAAAATGTCAGGACTAGTCGTAGTACTGCGGCCCGTCGTCGCCAGAAACATCGCAACTGGTCGCGACGACGTCGCATTTCACGACGCAGGGGGAGGTTGTCAGCAACGTAAATAGTTGTAAGTTAATAATGAGACCCAATGGCTGTGTAGACTACCACGAGTCTAAAATCTCGCAACTTGTGAATTGAAGTGTCGTGCCAAAAAATGACGTGTTAGACTTGTGATGGTCACGATTATTTATGATGTTACTGACAACGGGTTTACGGGGCATGAAATTCATGCTTGTGTCATAGCAGTCTTACTGATTACTCATTCACTGGGTTCACGATATCAAAGCGGCTAAAACCTCGGTGGTAAAGTTTATTAAAATCAGTACAGAACTAAATAGTGACCTCTCGAAGACGGCTCTGGTGCGGTCGAACTCCTTGTAGCGCAATTCGAACTTGATGTAGGTCTGCCATGCCTGCTCTTCTGGCTCCCACTCCATCCACCTCTCGAACACTTGACGAGCCCCTACACACACATCACTGTTTTACAGGCACACAGCTACATCAATATGACAGGGTAGAAAAGGTGGCTTCGTGGCCTTTTCCTCTTATTCTTCTAGAAATAACCAACTATGTGCAGAGACTTGCATCTCTGCAATATACTCCCGTACTCTATAACATGAATTTGTTCAACCCATCTAACTGTTCACTGTAACCCTGCATGTGGAACCAAGATGCAAACTAGCCAAATACTTGTTCCATCTATGAACAGAGAAGTCCTCGAACTAAAGGTTCGTTAAAACAGTAGAAATCTTGCATACGTATGAATTCGCTACAAATAGACTGCATTCCTGCTTTGCGAACTACATGGCAAGAGCTTCACGATGGCATCGCGAGCTGTTGCCAGCAGATGCCATGCATCACCTGCAGCTCAACTCCCCCGCTCTCACCCACAGCTCAACCCTCCTTGCGCCATTCTCCTCACAGCTCAACTCGTCCCTGCCTCTCATCCACAGCTCAAGCATCTCCTGCTCTCACCCATAGCTCAACTGTCCTGCTCCTCCCCACAGCTCGACCCTCTGCTCTCACCACAGCTCAGCTCTGCGCTGCTCTTCACCTACAGCTCAGCGTCTGCCTGCTCTCACCCACAGCTCAACCCTCTGCCTCTCAACCCAACAGCTTCAGCTCTCGCTGCTCTCACCCACAGCTCAACCCTCAGCTCTCATCCTATAGCTCAACCCTCCTGCTACTCACCACACAGCTCAACCCTTCTGCCTCTCACCGCACGTTCAACTCTTCCTCCTTCTCACCCCAACAGCTAAGCCTCTCTGCTCTCACCCACGCGTCAACCCTTCTGCTGGCTCACCCACAGCTCGAAACCCTCCTGCTCTCACCACAGCGTCAACCCCCTGCTCTCAGCCCACAGCTCAACTCTCCTGCTCTCACCCACAGCTTAACCCGTCCCGCTCTCACCCACAGCCTCAACTCTCCTGCTCTCACCGCACAGGCTCAGTTGCCTGCTCTCACCCACAGCGGCACAGCTACTCCTGCTCTCACACTTTACAGCTCAACTCTCCAGCTCTCACCCACAGCCTCCAACTTCTCCCGCTCTCCATCCACGGCCTATCCTCGCTCCGCCTCGCTCACCCACAGCATCAAACTCTCCCGCTCCTCATCCACCCGGCCATAATCTCGCTCCGCCTCACGACCGACGACCTCAACTCTCCGTGCTTCTCACCCACAGCTCAACTCTCCCGCTCTTACCAGCGACATTTCCCAGCATCTCCTCCATGTACGTGTACTTGTACCAGAACTGGTTGGCGCGCGGCAGTATTGTGATCGCGCGGTCCCAGATGTTGCGCGTGTGGTTCACCTGCTTGTTCTTCATCTCCAACTCGGCGTACTTGAGCCACAGCGTGATGTTGCGATGGTCAACGTCCAGGCCACGCTCGAACACCGACCGCGCCCTACGTAACAGAGGCAGGTGTTACGATAGAAAACGTTTGAGTTTAGACTAGCACATACGCGTGTTAGACTAGCACATACGCGTGTTAGACTAGCACATACACGTGTTAGACTAGCACATACGCGTGTTAGACTAGCACATACGCGTGTTAGACTAGCACATACGCGTGTTAGACTAGCTGCAGCACATACGCGTGTTAGACTACCACATACGCGTGTTAGACTAGCAGATACGCAGGTCAGACTAGCAGATACGCGGGTCAGACTAGCAGATATGCGGATTAGACTAGCAGATATGAGGGACAGACTAGCAGATGAGGGATAGACTAGCAGATATGCGGGTTAGACTAGCAGACATACAGGTTAGGTTAGCAGACTCCTGGGATAGACTGGAAAGCACCCCAATTAGACTAGCAC